GTTAAAAGGCAAAGCTTTAATGTTGTGGTGAGCCACAGTGACTGGAGTTTGTAAAAAAAGAGAAAATTTAATATGTGTTCATAGTTTTACGATGGAAATAATTTAAAACTCAATAAAGAAATCGAATGAAAGATTTTTTTTTGTTTTTTTTTTAAATATTTTGTACTAAATAACGTAACGGTTATTGTTTAAGTTAGACATTAGAAATATACTTGATCAAACTTTTCCAAGTCAACGCGACCACATTTTGGTACAAGTAAACATAAATAGCTGACATACTTATTAAGTAGTCGAAAAAGGCTTTTCGTATTTCTAATCAATAATTATTTAATGCACCAAATATGTACCACTTTGGTCGACCACATTTTGCCGTTTTTTCGATAGAGGCATTATTCCATCAGTTTAAAAGTTTTCTGGTTTCTCGGCAAAAAACTGCGACAAGAAATTGTCTCTTGAAGCCAACTTTACTCCATTAAGGGAGTTCTGCATTGACCGAAACAAGTGGTAGTCCGGTGGAGCAAGGTCAGTGATATATGGTGGATGCATCAAAACTTCCCAGCCAAGCTCTCCCACTTTTTGCCGAGTCATCAAGGATGTTGTCTTGATGGAAGACAAACTCCCTTTCCGTTGATCAGTTCTGGCCGTTTTTTCAATTGCTTGCTCAATCTCATCAGTTGTTTAGAGTAAAATGAGGAACCAATCGTTTCGCCAGGCGGGAGCAGCTCATAGTTGATGACTCTTTTCCAATCTCACCAAATACTCAGCGTAACCGTCCAGACTTTGCGACAATTTGTTGAGTTTTACCACGCTTGGACCATGATCATTATTGTCGTATTTGATCCACTTTTCGTCTCCTGTTACCATTCGTTTCAGTAATGGTCCGATTTCATTTTTTTTCACCAAAGAATCGCAGATGTTAATTCGGTTCATTAAATTTTTCACAGACAATTCATATAGTACCGAAACATTGAGCTTCTTTTTTAGCCGAACATTTTTAAATGGTTGCAAACCATTTGATGATGAATGTTAAGTTCCTTAACGATGTCATGGCTGCATATGTGATGGTATCATGGCGATTAGGAGACGGCCTCACATTCTCAATTATTGCCATAAAACGCTCGAAATACGGTCCTCTAGACGAGTATAGCCCCTTACATTTTTTGTTGGTATTAAAAAGTACAAGTGCGAACGCTTACTTAGTTTTTTTCACCACTTTTTGATACAAGAGCCCTTTTTGCACATTTTGCTTAAAAATGTAGCACACACACACATTTGCTTGTATATAAATACGTTTCTATTATGCAAAGTTTCTGACGCCTGGGCTCAATTCAGTATATTTTTGCAGAGATTGTCTGCTCTAGAGGCCAATATGAATAGCAGCAAACAGAGATTCGCAAACACATGCATATGTGCAGAYAGACTCATACGTGTATGTAAAGTGTAAAGGGCTTTGTATAGAAATGTTGATATATTTTGCACTGTGGTAATAAACTATTCAATAAATGTATTAGTTTTCTTGCTGTGAAATTTAACTAAATATTTCTGCACAATTATATGTATAATGACTTCCTGATGGGTTAAATTTTTACCAATGGAGTGTGGAACTTTATCTGCGAAATATCTCGTATCTTTCTCTCAGAATCACTGCACTAAGTAATCAAGAAGAGAAGAAGTTACTTAAGTCAACTCTACTGTACAGACTGGCTGTCTCCTAATCTGTTGGAGATATCTCAGTCTTATCATAATTAGAGTTAGCCATTGAACAGCTGAATTGGCTCTGATAAATGGTATGAACGCAAAAATAAATACTTTAGCAGCGTCACTTGACTTCGTAAGGCACTTATCACGCGTATTGCAGAAAGCCTAAGCACTGACTTTATTGATTTTGCATATGATTTTATGTCCAGCGCTTGCATACATAGCTACTAAAATCGTTAGCTAGAGCGCMAACAGCCTAAGTATATTTGCCACCATTCTAGATAAAGCATTCGAGATTTTATTTGCTTTACCTTCCGTCTTCTTAAAGGGTCTGAAAGTTTAGTCTTCAGTCCAATATTAAACTAAGATAATTCACATAATACGGAGGACCATTAAATGTCTCACCATCACTACCACTATGAGGTCATCTAAATAGACCATTAGTTTCACGGCTTTTGGTTGATTTCTTAACACCCCGTCATATATCAGTATGTCATGAATAGCACGTCCAATATTGACTTGTAAGGCTGAGGAGAGTCCGGTTTATTGCTAAACACTAATCACTTCAAATAACCCAACAATAACCAGTCTAATGTGTTGGAGACCAATTAATGCTAAAATTTCATAAAACAATCGAATTCAAACTTTTCTCGCAATAATTCACTTACTGCACGTCCTGCGTGGCACGTAGTCCCGGTCTTGTTGGAACGAGATGTTGTCAAGATCAACTTTGCGACATTTGCAACATTTAAGGCCTAAAAATTTGATTATCATCGATCTATACCGTTCTCCATTAACACTAAAGCTGTCATCAGTTTCATTTTAAAAGAAGACCGATGATTCCACTAGACCAAAAACCACTGCAAACTGTCAATTTAAATATATCTAATAGTTCTTCATGAATTATTTGTGAATTTTCTTCGCACCAGAATTGATAGTTTTGTTTTTGTTTGAATCCCATCCGATGATGATTTTCTTAAAAAAAATTTTTCAACATATTCCCGTTTTCTAGTCAAATTCACGATGATTACGTTGGTACAATGACTTCAGTTCGTAAATGATAACAATTTTACCGCCAGGTTGTGGCTTGAGACGGTCAATTGAGACAGTATTTTCAATAGTAAAACTTCACATATAACTATTGGGTAGTCAAAAAAGTATTTTCGTATTTTGTCATTAGATGTCGGTGCAGACGAGATGACGAGATATACGACTGTACTAATCACATTGTGCCATACCATAGATTTTAAGCTCCATTTAACAAAAAAAATTAAATTCGGGGAAGTTGGAAAAAGTTACCCCGCTYTGGTCGAAATATTTTTGAAAAAGTCGAAGAATAAATGGATTTTGACCAGGACCATCATTTCGCTAAGGAACTTAATATTCATCAAACGGTTTTAAAGCATTTATAAAAGTCTAGCTACAAAAAGAAGCTCGATATTTTGGTACCACATGAATTGTCTATGAAAAATTTAATTGATCGAATTTACATTAGCGATTCTTTGCTGAAACGAAATGAAATCGAATCATTTCTAAAGCGATTGGTAATAAGAGACGAAAAGTCTCTGGATCAAATACGACAGTAATATGCGCAAAAAATCATGGTCCAATTGTGGTGAAGCTCAAAAAACGGTCGTCTTTGGTGAGATTGTAAAGGAATCATTCCCTATGAGTTTCTCTAGCCTGGTTGACTGATTAATTCTACATTTTACTGTCAACTGCTGATGAGATTGATGCAAGCAATAGAACAAAAGGGCCAGAACTGATCAACAGAAAGCGCTTCATCTTCCATCAAGGCAACGCTAGACCACACACATCTTTGATGACTCGGCAAAGACTGGGAGAGCTTGGCTGGGAAGTTTTGATGCATCCACCATATAGCTCTGATCTTTCACCACAAAAACAAAAAAAAAAAAAAAAAAAAAAAAAAAAAAAAAAAAAAAAAAAAAAAAAAAAAAAAAAAAAAAAAAAGTGGTCTTGCCATATATTTACTAGATACATATATGCATATAAACCAAGGTTAGAAAACGATACTTTTCAATGATACCTGTATCGCACGTCTTTAGATTAATTTGTTTTTCATTCTTGAAAGTTTTGGATTTTTTTTTGGAAGTTTTCTAAAAATGCTGCATTTAATATGTAAGTAAGCAAGTAAGGATTAAATCAAAACCCCAAGAAGTGGTAAAGTATTTAAGTATAATTGAATAATTTTTATTTATTTTTTAACTTTAAACTTTTTGTTAAATTTATATATTTTTTTAAATAAAATCTTTAATTCCCACCTAATTGTCCAAAATTATTTCAAAAAGAACAAGAAAATAAACCCACACTATCTGCAGCAAGCAACTCTCGTACTAGATATAATGAAAACCATCACCGATTTTGTTTGGCATAATTGTTGTTCTCTGAAAATTCCGAGTCAATCAAATTGAWATGCTATTTGCACAACATTGCAATTTGGCCAAAAGACCCGGCATGCATAAACGCGCCTTGACCGGAAAATTTCTTTGATCATACCAAGAATAGTACACATATGTATTTAGTATAGTACACATGTGTTGTTGCATAAATGGAGGGAAAGGTGAATTCTTATTCAAAATATGTTTATCTATTAAATGCAATGAAATGCAGCTGTCAGGGATTTGATTRATGGCAAAGTAAAATGTGTGTATAGTAGCTTTAAATGTTAAACTTAAATAGCTTGTCAGGAGAGCAGGCACTGCATTTGCGGATAGAGTCATCTAAAAAATATTCAACAGGGATTGAGATGACTTACGCAAAGTTTTGTACGCTGCCATTGGTTTGGTATTTTCAAGAACGTAGATGTTACATATATATTTTTATCAAGCCCTCTATACCAAAATAAATTGTTTAAGTTTCTCYTAGATTTCCCAGAATGTAGACTTTTCCATACATTTCTTCATTTTCCAAAATAAAGTAGTAACATCCTTTATATTTCTCTTCCAGCGCACGCAAATCAACGGCGAAAAGTTTCCCATCAACCGAAGCGTTACCCAGGCAACTTTGACACAAATGACATTTGTTCAATCAAATGACAAACATCGAAGAACTTAAATACTTTTCCATAGAACATCTGTAAAGAAGTAGAAATAAGTAGAAGGAGCAAAAGGACAGGTTGGTCGTAAACCCTGCACGGTATCGATTACAYACGAACAATACCATCTGCTCTAACTGTAACTGCACAGCGGTGTTGTTGTCTGTTCGTCGCTGGCGGCATTCGCTAGCATAGTTTTGTCGTCATGTTTGCGAAATGTGTTGCACACACGACTGTCATTAAATGACAAAYGTTTGGCAGCATCAATCAGTGGCGTATCGAAAAGCAACTACAACAGCAACCGCACAGCCCACAGCCACCACTACAAAAAGCATATAAAAACGAGAAGAGAAAGAGAGAGAGTCAAACTCAGRCGAGRAGAACGCGTTGTGTGCGCTGCKGTCGGATASAGCGCYTCAAGTGTACTGGGGACGGCATGGCCATTAGCCGGGGACGCGGCAAACGCACGCACTCTTGGTTTCTGCTCAAAGATTCAGTGATATTTGCATTAGTGTTGTGTGTGCTACAGTTGCTACAGGCATATGCGCTAAGTAAACTAGCGATAAGCGCAGAGATGGTACAAGTCGCCAAAGGTGGTGGCGCAAATGAGCGGCGATCTAATAATAACGCCAACGCGGGAAGTAAAGAACCAGGCGCCGTGGAACCCGCGATGACGCAGTTTGTGGAGACATTACTGCTTGATCAACAAACAGTAGGGGAAACCAAAGAAGCGGCTGAGAAGTTTGCGAGTACCGTCAACAGTATTAGTATGAGCCCGAAAAGTAACAAGATTAGCAATAGTGGTAGGATTAGTAACGTTAGTCTAAGCAATGGCAGTAATCACAAYGCAGCYACMACWTCCGATAAGTCAGCGCTGATTGACGCGCATAAATCAAGCGATAAGCGAGTTGGCAAGCCGCAAGCCATAAACGAAAGCGATACAYTGAGCAACATTGCAAATATACACAACAACACACAGCGTATGCTTGCGGTGGGTGTTGCGGCCACAGCCGCCGGCGTCGGCAAGACTCACCAAGCAACGCAAACGGCTGCGAGTACTTACAATGGCGCTATGAATGGCACTGACGGCAAGCAAACACAGCGCGCGGTCATCAACATGCCCGAGCAGATACGTGAGAACATTGTGCTGTCATCTGTCGATCCGGAAAAGGAGGCACAGCTGTTGTACGAGCAAACATTGCTGGAATATCATGGTAGTATGCAGGCAGCTGCGGCGGCAAGCAGTCCACCATCAGCGGTCACAGCTGATAAGCCAACGGCGGAGGAGAGTGGACGCACGCCACTGCTGGAGGGCGCCAGCGCAGAGCGGCAACCACGCACACTGCACAGCGTTTGCGAAGTGTGGACGCAGAAGCATTGTCACTGCACCGGCACACTGGAGCGGCTGTCGCTGAGTTGCCGCGGTATCGGCGTTGTTGCGGTGCCCGTGGAGCTGCCTGACACCGTTGTGACCTTGTAAGTAAATTACTCTTATGACTTAGAACGCATGACTTTCTTCTTTAAACTTGTTTGTTATACAAAATAACTTATGAGTGAAATGTTTATTGTAATTTAACATTATATTTTCTTTTTACAGAGACTTGGGCAACAACAACATAACTATATTTGAGGCTAATACATTTTTTATGGTACCTAACCTCGAAGAATTGTAAGTCAAAATAGATTTTAAGAAAACCTGAAATCAGGAGAATTAGTTTGATTTTAAATTATTTGTATTTAAAAAGTTTTCCAACCGCTCGGAACCGAGCTGTTAACCGGTGCTCTTAGAGAGCAGTAGAATGTCGTTCGGCTGTCAATTGTAATTGCAGCTTCTCGACGACGAACGTTCCTTGTGTTTGTTGACGTGCGTTTTTTGCTGCGCGGAGTGTTAGGGTAACTTAGCTGCAATAAGATAGTGGTCTGAGGCAATGTTCGGCCCTCGGAGCGTAGGTAAGTCTAAAACAATGGAGACGCGTCTTCCGTAAATCTGGTTGGTGGCTTTTCAATCCGGATGCAGCCAGGTAGCTTGATTAATTTTCTTGCGAAGAAATCAAGTACTACAGATAATCATATTTCTGGCCACGTCGAAGTCGATTAGCCTCAACCCATTTGGGGATTTTTCCTCATGAAGGTTGAGTTTACCGACATAATTACCGACTGTAGCGCTCCAATCGCTCATAGCAGGCATCTTTGGTCACATCCTCCTTCTTTTCCATCGGGGCGTAATTATAGACTGTTGCGCTCCAATCGCTCATAGCAGGCATCTTTGGTCACATCCTCCTTCTTTTCCCTCAGGGCGTGGGCGCAAATCAGCGATATGTTGAAGAACCTCCCTTTGATGCGGATTGTGACTAGACGTTCACATGTTCCGGTATGAATGACAGTACTAGGTGATGGAGTCTCTCCGCCACCATGAATCCTAAGCCAAATTTGCGCTCCTTTATATGGCCACTGTAGTAAATGCCACAAGGACCTACTCGCCTCAGTCCTTGTCCCGTTCATCGCATTTCTTGGACTTTCTCTTCTCTTCTTTCAAAAAGTGGGTTTCTCTTCTCTCTTTGTTTTCATCGAGGGAAATGGTTCGCCTTCTCACTTTAACTACCGTTCAAACATGTGTTCTTAGGCTACCCAGAGGATACTTGGGCTAAGACCGGAAGTCATGAGCTGCTTGAAACTTTTGTGAATGGCGTTCAGAGAATTTTTCTCACTTGCGTGAACTTTTAACCATGACTCTATCCCACACCTGAAATATAATATAATACAATTTTGAGCTGTATTCATTGCTTAAGAGCTGACCTTGTGAGTTGAATGTGGAGTTGCATTGCAACCSGGTGCCGGACCCAAAGCACGGCAGAGGTTTTAGATGGGCCTCGAACCCGACCAAAGTGGTTAGTGTGTCCATTCCACACWGCCAATTGGTWCTGAAAATACTTGGCATTCTCAGGGCGCTGATCAACGCATTGATTTGATTCGCTGTACTTTTGAGTGCCGTGGAGTAAGGCTGTCGTCAGCAGGTACCCACGTTAAACACACTGGATGTTGTATTCATTGCTTATTTTGTCTGTGGAAGCCGTTAGGGTTAGACACCTTTTAACGAGCTTGTCGATTTTCGTTTGTTAAAAGTAGAAGATCAAAGGAATTTTTCATAAATTTAACATTGAAAACACGGTATTTCGAAAGATGGATGAAAATCGGTGAAAGAGCTAAGGGCTGCGTCTCGAAACCAGTTTTAGGCTCAAAGTCTCTTCTTCGGAATGATCCGTAGAATATATTCCACACCTGCGAGTTTTCTCTRTTTTTTGACCCTGTTAATCGACCCATCCTAACCTACACCCCTTGACTACAAGACAAAAAATACCACGTGTTAGGAAGTTTGCACTATAGCCTTCTGTTTAAGCAATCCAAAATTAGCAAGAAACAGTCGCAAAATGGTTGTAAATTATTATACTTTTTCTGAGACTATTTGTCGATCATAATTGTATTGACTGATGTAGCCTTTGCAAAAGTACCAACAAGTTAAAAGAGCTCTCAAAAATTTATCAGAAGTCATTTGAAGATAGAGCGGCCAATTCAGAACGAGACCATCAACCGATAAAGTTGCTCTATTAAGCTAATAATAGTAAGTAGTTACATAGTAGTGTGCTTTTAAACGTACATACCTATCTATATATGTATATATACTACATATTTCTCCAACTTTCTCACAAATAGCAGCCTTTATGCTCTTCTTCAGCTTCAATTTATCTGCGCAGTGCCTTGAGCGCTTACTTTCGTCGGCAGCACAGTTAGCAGCAGCCGCGCACCACCTCAAGCCATTCAAGTTTGCTTAGATAAATGACTTTATTACCACATTTCAACACATCCGGCAATTAATAATGCCCATTTGGCAAGGATGAGGTGATGAGCCTTGAAGCGCTGCTTTCATCCGACGCCATGTAAATAGGGATGCAGCGCATTTTCCACCCCTAATTTTTATTATATTTGCCAGTGTYTTTTTAAGCATTGCTTGAGATATTTGAATTCTTTGCTTCATTATTCACAGAACTTTATCCGACAATAGCATCATTAATATTGATCCGAATGCATTTTATGGACTTGGTAAATTGAAACGTTTGAATTTACAAAACTGTGGCCTTAAATCGTTGCCGGCGCACACATTTCAGGGATTGAAGAGTTTAATCTCACTGTAAGTATGCGAGAAATTAAAGTTATTGAGAGCAATATTTTTTGTTATTATGAGAATTAAATATGAATTAAATATGAAGAAGCATACCCTGCAGCACTTGCGATTTTTATAAATATGTACATATATATGTAATTGAAATAGTGACATACTATGTGCATACAAAAACAATTCGGCATAAGCAATAGCATACTGTAGCGCCTAAATATCATTAATCAGCGCACGCGCTATTCGGCTAACGCACTCAAAATTCTTTAAAACGTTTTGAATAAAAAAAATGTCAAACAGATTCGGAAAAACTCAAAGAATGCGTATTTTTTACTGTTACCTTAGTAAAGTTCTTAGTTTACTTTCATATTTTGTATTTTAATTTTTGCGCTGCTTTGCTGCAATCGCACAAACCACCCCGCAACCGGACAAATGTGCACCTTTTCCAAAAAAAAAAAAAAAAAAAAAAAAAAAAAAAAAAAAAAAAAAAAAAAAAAAAAAAAAAAAAAAAAAATTAAACATACAACAAAAAAAATATAAAAATAAAATAACAAAAAACAAATATGCATATTGTGCACGAAAATAACAAAGCCAGCTGAACGGCAACGCCTTAGCCAGCATGGACACGGACAGCCTGCAGCATCTGCCCAAGCTACGCACGCTCCGGCTCGAGGGCAATCTGTTCTATCGGATACCGACAAACGCTTTGGCTGGATTAAAGAMACTCGAAGCACTGTGAGCTATTTCTTACACTCTTACTTGCTTACTTACTTGCCTGCTTTTGAATCACTTATGTTTGTATGAATCTATTCCGCACACACACCAACACTTCACCGCTTCACCACTTACGCTTTGTTCCTACTCATATTTCCATAGATTTTGCAGTAAATAACTGTTACAAAAACAACATATGTTGCTGCTTACACATGCACATAACCATAACTTTTGCGTGTATGGCTGAAATGCTTGCCTTTATTGGCAAGTCGGTTAAAATTCTTAAGTGTCGAGAGAAGTCTAAAAAAATTTGACGAGTGTTTCGACTTTGATATATAAAACTGATACTTATATGAACATAAGTATATACAGATAGATATTAATCGAGTTTTGCAACATGGCCTAAGGGCTATATACATCCTATATCACCTAACTKTAGACACTCTAATTGTTTATATTTGATCTTCTTAGTAAATTCGAAATTGTAGTTTGTATTTCAATATTAAAATTTTCGAAATATTTTCTAATATTTTTTCTTAATTTTCACTTCTGGTCTTTTTTATTTTCTAAATGTTATTACTTTTGTGCACAAAAATTTTTTGTAAATAACTAATATTTTATATATAAAAATCTTCGCAGAAATCTTGGCAGCAACCTTCTGACAATAATTAACGATGACGACTTCCCACATATGCCAAATTTAGTGGTGCTGTAAGTATGAATTATGATGGTAATATGAAAGTTATAAATAAACAAATATGGTATCACAAAGTTTTATATTAAAAGAGTTTTGAGTGATAGGGTTTTGAATAGTCAATGTGGAAAAGTTCCGAATAGTTTTTTTTATAACACGCTGATTAAATATAACTCTGATTGACAAAAAAAAAAAATACATTTTTACTTATTTTAATAAAAATTTTATTTTTAAGGGAACTAAGCCAGTATAAGCATGTCAACACTTAATTTATTTTTTCATTCAATTTTTGAAATATTTTACATTCACTTCACATTTCTTAGTACGGGTTTATCATCGACACGCTTCATACCCAAAACATTAATCAAAGTGTGTTGAGCTGAGACATAAGGGGTTATATCCACTTGTGGGTTCGAAAAAGTGTTTTTTTGTTATTTTTTTCTGGAGAGGCTTTTTATTGAATCTATGACCTTTTACCGAATTTAGCGTATTCTAAGAATTCTGATTGTTTTGTTCGCGTCATTTAAATGAACGAGTCCAAGTCAAATTAAATCGTTAAGTTAATCGTAAGTTTTCAGCAACTCTCTTTATTAGGAAATGGACGCTTTTTTCCTAGCTCAAAACTTTTTTAGTACTATTATCTCAGGAATTACAGTTGAGTACCGTGCTTATCTTTACTGGCTTAGACACCACTTACGCGATTATAGGCTCAGCTTTTAATTTGGTCAAAAAGTTCCTGAGATTTTAAGATATTTTAATTTATGCCACTTTCCATCCAGAGTAAAGCGTTTCCATTGCGATTTTTGCAATAAAAGGCACATTTTCAAATATACATATTTCAATTTCGTTAACTGCATGTCATATTTCTTCTCACGTGGATTCTGTTGAGTTCTGAGAACGGAAAAACTTGGATTACCATATCTCATGTATGAGCAGTCAATTCGGAACTCAATTCTTATATTTTTTCTAAGGCTTTCTTTGATTTGCAATGTGGTGAATGGGTTATGCTTTATCTATTCGTAWAACCAAATATTTACGAAATGACGTGGATCATGTTACTTTTGTATCATTAAAACATTAATTATTTCTAAGATTTACGCTCATAGAAAATTATTTTATGGACATTCATTCTAGTTTTCTTCTCCTGAAAAACAGTTATGAAAGTCTCTATTATAATTCCAGTGCATTCATTATTATCAGTGCYGGTTGGATTCATACACAATTTAATAAACCTTTAATGAGTAGAGGATTAGTCTGATGCAAGATCTAAACATTGGTCAAAGCATTWTTTTTGGGTTTCGGTGTTCCTTTATTTTTTTTTTTCATCAAAAATTGTGTTCCAGTAACACGCAAAATTCCATTTTATGCATCTTTTTTTCATTCAAAACTCTAAAATTTTCCTAACTTAAAATCACATATCTTTTGAACTCGTAGTCATATTGAAGTTCAAGCACATGTGTTTTAGTAAATTGGTCCAACTACCATATATGTATATACAATACAGCTCTGATAATATATACTTCTATATAAGATCTCATTATTTCTAATAAGATAGTTTGAAATATTTTATAAGACTGAACTTGGCGCAAACACGCATCAGGCATACATTATGACAAAAAAGTACACGGGAATTAAGAACAAACCGCGAATTGTTTAATTACYCATCAATATTTATTTTGTCGCTTCCAAAGTAATCCCACCGGTTGCAATATACCTGTGCCAACGATTTTTCCAGTCTTCGAAACGCTTTTCATAAGCACTTTTTAGGATGGCCTACAGCTCCTTCGGCGAATTTCACCGAACCACGAATAATGAAAAAACAATGAGTATCACCTTAATTTTTGAGCGGTTTCGGTGCAATTTTTTTAGTTTCGGCTAATTTTTTTCCCCTCTATTCCTATGATTGTTGATTTGTTGTCAAACTCATAAACCCATGTCTCATTGATAGTTATAATTCACTCCATGAATGTGGGATCGGAATTCGCGCAATAAAGAATGTCCAAAGAGACATGTTTACGGTACTATTTTTGAAAAAATTCACTTTTATCGGAACGAGTCGAGTAAGAACGGGTTTCATATCAAAAATACACACCAAAACCATTCAAACGGACTCTCCAAAGATGTCGAGCGGCAATTAAACTACAATTTCTGGGTACTTTTTTGCACAATGTATGTTTTATATAAGAATAAGAMATAGTAATTAGCGAATTTAGTACAACAGAAGCGTTAGTTATATATTTTTTTTGATATTTAAGTTAAGTAAATACCTTTACATTTACAGTCTTTTGAAGCGAAATCAAATAATGAAGATCTCCTCGAGTGCATTCACGAATCTGACGGCGTTGAAAGTGTTGTGAGTATAGAAATCTCTAAATATATAATTTTTTCACTAACTAAACTCACTTGTAAACAAGCATATACGATTGCGTTCCAAATAAATGACAGTTATTTTATTAAAATGAGTGGCAGCAATAAAAATCGAGACCTTATCGGAAAAATTGTAAAAGCAAAATTCGAACATGGCTGTGGGCCAGCGGACACGAAACTTATTGCCTCATAGCAATTTAATAAACAAAATAGATAGCTAGAAACAAATRCTCGCTGCTCGAGAGCACAAAAAACAAAACAGCAGCAGGAAAGTGGAGYTGAAAGCGCGGGAGGAGAGTTATGGCCATAGCAAATAGAATTGAATGCAGGAAACAAGTGCAAAAAGACGGCAAATACATGTGAATAGAAATGGTTATTGGTGTGGAGAGCGAATGCACCAGCATAAAAATCGCTGCCAATTTATAAGCATAACAGTAAATTCGAAAAACCCTTAACTAAAAGCATACATGCAAAACTCATTGGAAATAAATGCAATGGCAACTATTTGTGTGTGTGTGTGTGTGTGTGTTAAGTGAAAAGTTGCGCCGGCTGAGAAGCAATAAAAACACGTCTTGAGAATATCACCACTTCAAGAAGTTTTTTGCAATTTTCCGATTTTTTTTGTTTTGGTTTCTGCACAAACACACACCCACATTTATGTCTGTTATAAAAATACATTTTATAACATTTGTTTACAAACAAAGCTCTAAGTGGCTCCTACACATACAAATACACGTATGTGTGTGTGTTTGTATATAACGGTACGGCAGCTACTTTGTTGTTGAAAAGGTAAAAGTCAAAAGTTTTGTGGCGTCAATGCTTCCATAAAATCGAATGCAACTTATTTGCGGAAATCGCAATTGCTATTGCCGTTATTGTTGTTATTGTACTTTAAGCTATCGAGCATTTGAAATGTGGCCATTTCAAGTGACCACTGGAAGATAAATGCCTTGCGAATGCTCACGAGAAGACATTGTGTTATTTATGGGATATATGTGCTGCTTAGTTTCAAATATATAGA